TTATTGAAAATTTCATGTAAAGACATTGTTTGTTATCAATTAATTCGTTGTGTGCGCTATTTCAATCATGTTTTAATTGAAAAATTAAGAATTAACTACCAAACTTGGACCTTTGGATTGAAATATTTTAAAATTTGGTTGTTTAGGTCATTTAGATTCCAATCTCAACATTGCTCATTCAGATATTGTTAATTTTGATTCTGAATTGCCCCATTGTAAAACAAAAGATGGTGTCTACAGAGACCCCATCTGTCAATGGCCAAATTATTTTGCCCACCCTGATGTGGGTTGAAGCATTGGAACTCATGCTTCATAGACGCTCATCAAAATTAGATATTAGGAAAGTTGCCATATGCTGCAGTGGAGGAGCAGGGAGTAGTGATCGTGCCCAGTGGAGTGGGAGACACGGGGGCAACACCGGCAAGGGCCGGCCAGGACGGAGGCAAGAAGAAAAGACCGGCGGCAGAGTAGAGAAGAAAAATCCCACTTGTGAATGTGGTTGTTTGTTTGGATTTTGTTTTTTTTTTTTTTTTTTTTTTTTTTTTTTTTTTTTTTTTTTTTTTTTTTTTTGTGGAAAAAGGGTTTGTACATCTGATTGGTTTTTTTTTTTTTTTTTTTTTTTTTTTTGAGCATGATGATGATGAATAAAAATAATAAAGGTGGCAGTGGGAATGGAATAAAAAAAAAAAAGAAGAGTGGTTTTGTGTGTGATGAAAAAAAAAAAGAGTCGGTAGGCAATATGAAATTAAAAAGAAAGGAAAAGAGGGGGACAAAAGTTGGCGTGTAGCATGGAGTGGTGGATCACAGTGTGTTTAAAAAAAAAAACAAAATTAAAGAAAATAAAAGAAGGTTGGATGGACAGAGAGAGATTAATAAAATATGAGAGAATAATGATAAATATAATTAAAGTGGGTCTGGTGGAGAGAATCCAATGAGCCTCCACGCGTCCCAACACGTCTCTGTCTCTACATGAAAGCCAAGGCAAGGAATGGTCCAGTGAGTGCAGTCCCAGCAATAGCGACTCTGCTCACAGCGGACGCACCACTTGTCGGTGGCGTGGTACTAGATGTGGGCGCCACCGTCGGAGATGGGGTGGAGCCGGAGACGGGGGAGGGCGACGGCGACGGCGTTGGTGTGTGAACCGGAGTCGGTGCCGGCGAGGGAGTCACCGGAGTCGGATCCGGAACTGGAGCTGTAACCGGCGTCGGAGAAGGAGGAGAAGGAGAAGGAGCAGGAGAAGAAGAAGGAGGAGGAATTGACGGCGGCGGAGTAGGTGTGGCGGTGGGTGAAACCTTTGGAGAAGCAGCAGGGGCTTGTGCTAAGCATGAGGTGGTGAAGAGAGAGAGGAGAAAGAGAAGTTGAAAACCGCGAGAACCCATAATCTTTTCTATTTTGGTTTCTTTCTAGAGAGAGAAACAGAGACTTTTAGAGAGAGAGAGAGAGAGAGAGAGGAGAAAGTTTGAGATGAAGGTCATGAGACCGGCGCGACCGAAGAACTTGGCGACGAAGACGGTGGCGTGGCCTTGAGATTCAGGGGAGTCGATCCACTGAAGGCATGGTTGGAGGATACAGTTTTCGCTGCAACCCTTTTGAAGAACTCGACATCCATTGCAACTCATGATTACAAGCTCAACATATCAGATTCAAGCTATAAACGAGGAAATGAATTTGGTAGCCAGACGCAGAAACTGGAGAGAGAGAGATTTGTGTGTATGTATCGAGTGATGGCAATGGTGGTGTGTTTCAGTGAGGTGCGGAGAGGGAGAGGGAGGTTTGAATTGGTTGAGATCCGACGGGCGGTCAAGGCAAGGTTGCCGCCCGCCGGAAGGCGAAGAACACCAAGATCTTTAACCTTGCTCTGATACCATGAAAAATAATAAATTGAGATGTATATTATTATTGATGTTTTACAAGATTGTTATATATTCTGTATTACAAATGAGGGGTTCCTTATATAGATGTAGGTGTAGGGAGTAGGTGGTGGTAGGTGAGTGTAGTAGGTGAGTGTAGTAGGTGAGTGTGTGGTAGGTGATGGTAAGTGTGTGGTAGGTGATGGTAAATTATACAATGTACATTAACAGTTTGATTGCTCCCTATTTTGTGGAGGGGTTAGTGAAACAATGTTCATAAATTTGCGCTGCCTTTCTTGTTATCTTGAGATAGACATGGTACGTGAATTTATGATCAAGTGCTCAAGCGCTTAATCATTGAATGAACTTGTTATAACTTACATGAAAGTTTTCTTGATACATTATTTACATATGAATGGTAAACATATATGAAACCAGTTCTTTGAATGTTTAAATGCAAAATATGGAGCCTCTCTGGGCATTGTGATACTTTTAAAATTTCTCGCTCACGTTATTGGTCTAGCTCTAGAAGCTAATACTCTACAGCACAACAATACCAATGAACTCCCCGTTACCTTAAAAAAGAAGAGAAAAATATATAATTTGTGTGCAAAAGATATAAATGTGTTATTTTACGTAGCCTAATTTTACTAACTAGGGCAAATTACATATACACCCCTCGAGGTTTGGCTAAATTACAGATGCCCCCTGAGGTTTGAGAAATTACGAATTCCCCCCTGAATGCTATATTTGCATAAGAAATTAGGGGGTAATTTGTTATGAAATATAAACCTCAGGGGGCAAATTGTTATGAAAATACAAACCTCAGGGGACGGGATGTAATTTCTGAAACCTCAGGGGGGTATCTGTAATTTAGCCAAACCTCGAGGGGTGTATATGTAATTTGCCCTTTTAACTATTAACATTTGTATTTACTTAGAATGATCTCAATGCCTGACAACATAGTATACTAGAGCAATTTGACCATCACTTCTATGGTTTTCAATCATTAGTCACTGTATCAATATTTTGTTTGTTGTTCGCAGTGTTGAACTAGGCATGGGATTCCATGCCATGATGCATGAATATAATGTGTAAATTGAAAAGGGAAATATGAAAATCAGGAGCAATTCAAAGCTTCTTGCATTCTTAGAATTGGTCTACGAAATATTAATTCACATGATATAGAGGTATGATTTTTTTGTGAATACTTGCTCTTTTTTTAAGCAATTTGTAAATGAACCTAAGTGAAAAAAAAAAAAAAAAAAGAAGAAGAGAAAGAAATCTAGACTTAACAAAGGCCGCTGGTAAAAAAATGAAGCAGTACCATATTTCATAACTGGAATTGTGAAATTACTCATCCATGGAGATTTCGTTGTGGTGTTGATTGGCTGCTACTGACTTTTTTAAATTGTTGACTACTAACTCAGTTAAAAACTGAAGCTATTAGAAAATCAACCAAACACTGTATACCCGTATCAAGCTATCAAGCACTCCCTCTTGTTGTATTTATTTGTGCTTGTGTGTGTTTCAAGACACTTTCCTCAAGCCTTTGTGGTTTGCTCTTGTCCCTCATTGATTAGTTACAACTTCTTTGTTCGATTTAGTTATGCTTGTGGTCTAGACAATTGTTACTTCTGGTGTTGGGAAGAAGAGCATGAACTAAGGACCTTACATATATCATTTTCACGCTTGTACTGTCTCGTATCATCATGTGTGATGAGCGTCATATTCATCCTTGAGCTAATGGTTAATCAACTTAAAATATAACTATGATATTAATGTGCTGAAAATTTGAAATTATTGTTGGTTTGTGTAGTTTGCCTTAATGATTAGCGGGAAGGGCAAGTCTCATGACTAAACCTAAGAAGTTCGTGGCATCATGAGTTTTAAACACTTCTTCTGTACAAACTAGTTTTACATACCTAAACTTTGCTTTCAGGTTTGGCTTCAACAAAAACTGTTTGGTTGTTCAGTGGTCTGGAGAGAACCCTCAGAACTTGGCAGGTTACTATTTTTTTTTTCTTTTAATTTTTTTCTTCTTTAACTTTGCAACTAATATATTTTCTTGGGATTTTTGGTGAAACTCCCCTTTTTGAGTATTTTTCTAGGATAAAGGACAACTTAACTAATTTAGCTTCAAAAAGACCCTGAGAAAAAAGAGAGTAGCTCAAGGACATACCATAATTTTTTCTTTTTTTTTTATGGACAATATTGCCCTTTCATGTATATATATATCATACATTTGAAAATCTGATCCATATATACACGATCTCATATATTTGAAAATCTAATCAGTGAAGATCTCACAAAAACTCGATCTCGAAATCTGAAGATCTCGTCGCCGACAATCTCACCCTCGATCAACAGTAGACAATTTGCCACCAAATTTGCTTCGACCACGTGTTCTCCGGAAATCTCAAAATATGTATCAACGAGAGCTTTATATTTCAAATCTGTACAAATTTGTATCAGATTTTGAGAGTTTCATCAAGATTGGGAGTGTTGATCGAGTTTTAGAGGCTTTACTTCGATCACGTGTTTGATTATTGTTCAAGTTTGATTAGGTATGTTGATTTTTTTTATTTTTTTTATTTTGATTAGTTTTTTTTATTTGATAGAAATAGAGTAAAATTTTACTCTTGTACTATGCGGTCTGATTTTGTTTGGGAGTAAAATTTTACTCTTGTTCTATGTGTTCTGCTTTTTGTTTAGGAGTAAAATTTTACTCTTATACTATGTGCTCTATTTTTGTTTGATAAAATGAGAGTAAAATTTTATTATGATATTATGTACTCTATTTTTGTTTGATAGAATGACAATAAAATTTTACTCTGACATTAAGTGCTTTTGTGATTTGTTATTGACAGTAAATTTTTACTGTCAACTGATTGCAGATTTGAAAAATGGTTTGAGCTCTTATGTTGTTATGCAAGTAGATCCAACATTACTAATGATAAAATGGATTTACTTCCTATGTTTTGTCGCCATGAAGAAAGGACTTTTGTTGTCTTCTGGATGGGTGAATAGAATTACTCATGTAGGTCAAAGATTTGTTAGAGGTGCAAAGGATTTTCGGACTGCATTATGTAAATAAGCCATTGAGTTTACTACTGTGTGTTCAATAAAAGACATTTTTACTATGATGTTGAATGATTGTTTATCCAAATTTATGATTTGCTTTGTGGCTGAATTTGACATTTTAATATATATATATATATATATATTTTCATGTGGTTGGATTAGTTTCATGTAAAGGAATTTATAATGGAGTTTGTTAACATGAAAGTTTTGAGTAAAATTCTAGTATAAAAGATAGTAAACATTATTTTTCTTAGCATGAAAGTAAAATTTTACTCTCATTCAAAGTAAAATTTTACTATATTTTAAAGTAATTTCGAATTGAAAGTAAAATTTTATTACGTTGGAGTTTGTTTAATAGGAGTGAAATTCTAGTCTAAAAAATAGTAAAACATTAGTTTTCTTAACATGAAAGTAAAATTTTACTTTATTTCTAAGTAAAATTTTACTTTTTTTCAGAGTAAAATTTACTCTGAATTGAAACTAAAATTTTATTGTGTTATTAAATGTTTGTCTATACAAGTTTCTGATTTGTTTTTTGAATTGAAAGTAAAATTTTACTCTATTGCCGAGTAAAATTTTACTTTAAAGTATGTGAGTCCTATAAGAAAATATTTCCAACATGCACCAAAATTTATAACAATACACAAAGTCCCTGCTACTCATAACGCAATCTTTACGCAAAAATAATATAACACCACAATATATTATCAAAAGACACAAAATATAAACTGTATTATTGTATTCTATCCATTACAATGTTTCATCCTAATCCATAACAAGTATAACCTGCATCATTGTTATCTTTTTAGCATTCTTTCACGTATAATTACTTTTTCAGCATTCTTTCATTTACAAAAAAAAGCAAAATTACATTCATCATTCACATCAGATAAAAAAAAATAGTCCCCCAAAGTCATCCACATCATCATGCTTGAGGTTTTATCATTTGGCTCTTTTTCTTTTGAGGTTGAATTGTTCCTCACTCCATGTTTTTGGAGAATCATTCAAAAATTAATACACTATTGATGCTTGGAACTTGTTGATTTCATCATCTTCCATAGACTTTGCAACAAGCTCATCTCTCATGATTTGATGTATGATAGAACATATAATAATTCCGCAATCAACACCATTAATAGAAATCAAAATCTTGTTAGATTTACTTAAATTTGAAAATCAACAAAATCATAAAGCTTACCATTTCTAACATGTAAACAAAGAATATTCACGAGGCCAAAGAAGAAGGAAAAAAAAAAGGTAGGAAAAATGTATAAACATTTTAATGAAATAGTAAATTTTAATGTGAAAGTAAAACTTTACTCTGTTTAGAAGTAAAACATTACTCTCATTGAAAGTAAAATTTTACCTTGATTGATTAGCAGTTTTGTCTGTAACATAAGTCAATAAAGCAACAAACAAGCAGGCAAGCATCTACACTATCACTTACTTGCAAAATTAATGCAATTAAATCACATAAAAGCAACAAGAAAAGCAAAATCAAATTCAAAATCAACTAAACACACCAAACTACATCAAAATTGACCGTTTCTAAGGCTTCAATTCAGGTCAAAAGCAACAAGAAATGAAATGAATATCGAACAAACTCGCATTATAGTCCATACACAACAAAAAAAATTATTTTTTGCGACGGCAAAACGCCATCGCAAATACCCCAAACGCCGTCTTAAAAAGTTTTTGCGACGGTAAAATGGCTTTTTGCGACGGCAAGTAGGAGTCGCAACAAAGGGGGTTGTAAAAGGGTTTTAGCGACGGCACAGTGCCGTCGCCTTTGTTTTTGCGACGGGAAAATGCCTTTTTTGCGACGGCAAATTTCTGTCGCCAATAATGAATGAAAACTTGAGTTTTTTGCAACGGTACAGTATTGCCGTCGCTAAAAGGGTTTTTTGCAATGGCAAAAATACCGTCGCTAAAAGTGTATTTGAGACGGCAAAAATACCGTCGCTAAAGGCGTTACGTTTCAAAAAAATTGCTTTTTTGCAACGGCAAAACGCTGTCGCTATAGGTATAAGGCGTTTTATAAACGTCACTGATACTTGTAGTGGCATTTTGAACAAAAACGCCACCTTTTTACTTAATTTCATAATTTAATTAATATAAAATATGCTCTGAAAAGATTTTAAGGTTAGTT